TTTTTTTTTTTTTTCATTCTTTTCGGAACGATAGGCAATGCTCATAACTAAAAATAAGAGTTAAGATACAACTGAAGAGTTGATTAGCTCTTAAACAACCATCAAAAGAGGACCACAACACCTTGTGCCTAGAATACCAAAAAATAGCAAACCAATCCAAGATGATAGAGGCAAATACAGATTTTTGGACCATTTACCATTTGAACTCAACAGCCATAACCAAATGAAAGAGAAATGATACAATACCAAGCTTAGCAGAGATAAACAAATTGACACAAGGACTAAGCCTCACTCATGCTAACCAAAGATACTTGACCTATGAAGCCATTCTGCCATTGAATTCAACTCAGTCTGCCATAGCCAGTCTAACAACCTCAGCTTCACTTCTCCACACTTTCTGAAAGAGCCATAATTTTCTAGTCTTCCACATACACCAAAAGATATAGGTGGATAGTTGGATTCTAGCTTTAGATGTCTCTTTCTTGTCAATAGATGCAATCCACCACCAGCAGCTTTTGAAACTGTGAGTTTTTGCTATGGAGTTTCCCCAGTCAAGAGGAGCAAGCTTCCACACCATTTTGGCTCTTGAATTTTGGAAGAAGAGGTGCTCTACTGTTCCAGGAGTCTGTCCACAGCAGGGCCATATTGAATCAAGGTCAAGACCCTTTTCAGCAAAATACTACATGTAGGCAAGGAGTTAGAGAAACATTTCCGTATGAAGTGCTTAATTTTACCCTTGATTTTCAATTTCCAACACCTATCTCTGGCAGTTTTATCTGTTTGGGCAGAGTGGCTGCCCTCAGCCCTGTCAATTCTTAGGGTCTTCTGAGTCATCATCTGTGCATATGCCTTGGCCACTGAGAATTTATCTGTCTTTCCTGTCTGGTTTCAAGGAGTTAATCTTTAGGATTTCAGTTATTTATGCAGGTTCAAAAAGTTCTTCTAGCCTTTCCATGTTCCAGGTTCTACCCTCATCATGCAGAAGATCTGATACCCATGTGACAATGCCTATTCTTGCAGTTCTCCCCCTTAGAATAGCTGAGGAAAGAGTAGGTATCCAAGGGTCTCTCCAAATTTTGGTGCTTTTGCCATCAGCATTCTCCAAACTGAATTGACCTTGATAGGCAGATTTGACTGTCATCCAATTATTCCATATCCATGAGGAGTTTTGAGCTTAAGTAGCTTCCAGGATAGAGCCCTTGGGAAAGTATCTCTTTTTGAGCACATTACTCATCAAGAGGTTTGGCTAGGTTGCTACCCTCTAGATCTGTTTGAGTATCAATGCTTCATTGAATAGCTTCACATCCTGGAAACCTAGTCCTCCCCAATGCTTTGGGGTTGTCATCAGTTTCCATTCTTTATAATGGACTTCTGGGGACTGAGAGTCACCTGAACTCCATCAAAACTTAGCACACAGTTGAGATATTTAATGGCAAAGCCCTTTGGGAAGACAAAAGCAAGACATAACGAAAATTGGCGTAGCATATAGAACATATTATATGAGCACCCCTTTCCCTGCAGATGATAAGTATATGTTCTTCCAATTGTTAAGATTAGCTTTAACTGCATCAATCACAAAATTAAAACATTCCTTCTTTTATTTACCAATTCTCAGGGGCATACTTAGGTATCTAGAGGATCTTTGAACTGTGATCCCTTGAAGAGTGTGGCAGATGCTTTGTTGAATGGATTCAGGAGTGTTTCTGCTGAAGAAAGCAAATGATTTGTTCCAATTCATCTTTTGCCCTGTAAATATCTAGTACTTATGTAGGATTTGAAGCAAACAAACAGCTTGAGCTTCAGAAGCTTCACATAATATGAGTGAATCATCAATAAATAACAAGTGCGTGAGCTCAGTCCCATTTCTGTCAGCTTAAGCCCTTGGAAGTTTCTTAGTCCACCTTCTTGTAATAAGCATAAGGGGATCCCTCTGTTTAATGCCCCTAGTAGTTCTAGATAACCACAAACATCTCCATTTAAATTATAAAAATAAGTGGCTGTAGACAAACAGGCAAAAATCCATTGCACAAAGGTAGAGTGAAAGCCAAAACTCAACAGGATTTTAATAATGCTGTTCCACTCTATCATGTCAAAGGCTTTCATCATGTCTAATTTAAGAGCCATGTAGTATTTAGGCCATGACCTGTGTCTGTTAAGGAAATGGACAACCTCCTGCCACTATAATATTATCTAACAACTGTCTCCCTTTAGCAAAAGCAGCTTGTCTGCCACTAATCATTTTTCCCAGAAGTAGTTTCAACCTTGCAGCTAGGATTTTAGAGACCACTTTATAAGCTACTCCACAAAGACTAATAGGTCTGTACTGGTTTAAAAAGGTAGGATTTTGGCATTTAGGAATTAAGGTTAGGAGGGTATGGTTCCAGTTTTTTAACATCTTACCAAATTCAAAGAAATTGCTCACAGCTTCACAAAGATCATACTTAATCACCTCCCAAAATTTTTGAAAGAAAATGGGTGACATACCACCATCAGAACCTGGTGCTTTGTTAGGGTTGAGGCTAAATAGTGCACATTTGATTTCCTGCTGATCCACTTTTGATGTGAGCATGTTGTTGTCTTCTCCAGGATTACTTTTGGAATGAGTGGCAAAAGGTGTTGTTTTCCACAAGATCCTTATGATGAGAAGAGAAGTTTGTAGAACTGCTTCACACTCTCCACAATTTCCTCCTTGGAGTCTCTTGGAACACCATTCATGTCTACAAGCCTTGAAATGGAATTGGTTTTCCTTCTGTGGATGGTTAGAGCATGAAAGAATCTTGTATTGATGTCTCCT